TGTATACGTTCGTGTATATAAATGTGAATGACCATACAGCTTCCTAAGGATCATTTGAATTTTAAAATAGTTTCTGAACCCAAATTCATCTCTTGTTGGTAGACTATGAGGGTAGGAGGTGGGTGGGAAGAGATACTTGAAAGCTGGTTGGATGTGAGGCTTCAGGCATCTCTTATCCACTCTAAACCACTCTCTTCCTCTTATCTAGTTTCCCATGAAATTAAATAGTTGGAATTGGAATCAGCATTTCTAGGTACAACCATACACTCATGCCAATGAACACCATGCTTGAGACAAACACACACATACACACATACACACACACACACACACACACACACGCAGCCATAAGCACCTTTGTAAGTCACTCTACATTGTTTATTTTGTTTTACTGAATTCAATACAAACCAAAAAATCTATGAATAGAGCAGGGGTGTGTATATGGTGTGTGTGTGTCTGTGTGTGTGTGTGTGTATCCCTACATATAGATATATAAAATCCCCTTTCAAAAACTCAAAAGTTCGAACTGCCCTTCTTGCTGAAAAGCTGTAAAGCACTCCTGCCTCAAAGCTTTGCCTTGGCTGTTCCTCATGCCTGGAATGCATTCACTCCTCACCTCTACCTCTTAGAATCCCTGTTTCCTTAAAAAAATCAACTCAAGTGCCACCTTCTACATGAAGTCTTTTCCTGATCCTGGAAGCTGCTTGTGCTTCCTCCACCCTATGTCCTTGCATTTGTTTCATATATAACTATGTAAGGTGCTCCAAAAAATCTTAGTGCAGCGTCAAGCTATTCAAGCCTGAAACTGCAGTATGATTTTTTGGCCCCCCCTGTATAAGCAGATCCTGTCTCCCCCAACTGAATGTAAACTCCTTGAGAACACAGGAAATTTCACTTTTGTCTTTGCATAACCAGCACCTAGCACACTGAATGGCATTTAACAGGTAGGTGCTTAACAAGTCCTTGTTAACTGATAATAAAGGGAGGGCAAAGGGAAAGATAAGGAAGGTAATCCCATAGGAGGCAACATCTGAGCTGTTCTTTGAAGGAAGCAAAGGATTCCATAATGGTAAGGCCAGCAGGGAGTGTATTCCAGACTTGGAGAAATCATTTGTGCAAGACAGTAGAGGTGGGAGATGAAATACTGAGCATGGGAGGACAGCTAGAATGCCAGTTTAACTCAAATGGAGAACCATGTGGAAGAGAATACTGGCAAAGTATATGGAAGCCTGATTGTGAAGGGCTTTTAAATACCACACTGGGGTACTTATATTTTATCTTAAAAAAGCAAGAGTGATGGCAAAAGTGTACAAAAACACGTACAAAAATATTTGTAGCGGCTCTTTCTGTAGTGGCAAAGAATTGGAAATTGAGGGGATGCCCACAAATTTGGGAATGGCTAAACAAGTTATGGTATATGAATGTAATAGAATACCATTATGCTATAAGAAATGATGAGCCAGCAGACTTCAGAAAAACCTGGAAAGACTTACATGGACTGATGCTAAGTGAAGTGAGCAGAACCAGGAGAACATTGTACACAGTAACAGCCACATTGTGCTATGACTCACTTTGATAGACTAAGCTCTTCTCAGCAATGCAAGGATGTAAGACATCTCCAAAAGTCTCATGGTGGAAAATGCTATCCGCATCCAGAGAAAGAACTATGGAGTCAAATACAGATCGAAGCATACCATTAGCTCTTTTTTTCCCTTCTGTTTTGTTTCTTCTTTCTCGTGGTTCTTCCTGTTAGTTCTAATTCTTTACAACATGACTAATGTGAAAATATGTTTAATAGGAAAGTATACATAGAGCCTATATCAGACTACATGCCATCCTGGGGAGGGAGGAGGAGAGTGAGGGGGAGAAAATTTAAAACTTGAAAGCTTATGGAAATGAATGTGAAAACTTAAAATTAATTAATTTTTAAAAAAGCAAGAGTGAGTCACTGAAGATTTTTGCATAAGGAGTGACATGGTCAGGTTTGCAATTCAGGAATATTGACTTGCTAGTTGTGTGGAAGAGAGATGAGTGAGATGAGAAAACCAGGCAAGGAGATCAATTAGAAGTCTATTACAAAAACTGTCCAAGGGAAAAGATCATTTGCATTTTATAGAATGAAGACATGAGTGGAAAGATGTTATGGAGTTAGTGACCAATTAGGAAGTTCCTTCATCACAATAACAAGTTTTACTTTTCTCTCGGTTCTACCCTGCTACTTTCCTCTCTAAAGGACTCAACTTTCCTGCCTTAATATTTCCTAATTTAATCCATTTTGAAGACTGATCTAATATTCTTGTGAAGTGCCAAATCACAGAGATCACGGATGCTAATGTCTGCAAATGAGAAGCTGAATTGTAATGATCAGAATTCCAAATAGCACGTAATGACTAATTCACATTCAGATCCAAGTCAGATAGAGGCCTGCAGATTCTGCAGAAACAATATCATCTAAATTGTGGCTTAAATGAAAACAAAAGAATTCTTTGAAAAAGATATATAGTAGAAAATCTAAGTAACCCTCTCTCCAACCCATAGCTAAAACGTTCAGAGCGGTGGTCATGATTCTACTAATGTATAATCATCATCTTGTTTATTCATTTTGATTATATTCACCTCTTATTTGTATGAGCTTACAGTACAGGTCTTCAAACATTGAGGCCTGCTGTCCTATTTTTTCCCCTCTTCATCTGAAGTACCAATGCCACAGTTAATGATTAAGAAAGCTTCCAAAACAATCTGCAGGCCCATTTGGCTGGAAGTAAAATAAACCAGAGAAGGAGAAATGAGGCTCACCATTGATGTGTTCTTCGGGTTACACATCATCAAATTTATGTTCTAAGACAGTCATAGTAAAGTTGTGTCAAATAATGTTTCATATAGAAAGTAAATACAAACCCAGGACAGTCGGAAGGTTCTGAATAAGATTCACTATGATGTATGTTTTATTCTGCTCCTAGAGGTAGAAGACCACAACTCAATAACATACCTTGACACCACCCTTCTGTAAAGCCATCTACTTGTCTTGACATTCTAAACCTGCTGTTTTATTCCCTGCATAGGTTCCTTTCTCAACACTCCCCTCAGCTACCATCCTCCTTTTCTCTCAGGCCTGCATCTTCTCTTTTATGGGTAGCTTAGGAAACTTCCACTCTGAAGGACTTTCTGGCTCCTGCCTGAGCCCATCACGACATGCTGAGGAGCTCAGATTCACTGTCAGGCTCAATCACCTCCTCAGCAGTAAATGACTATTCAGCTGACTGAGTCCAACCTCCTTTCAACTGTTCTCTTAGCAAATGAGTTATTCACGCTAATGTGTTCCCGTACCCTGACCAGTCACTATTCCTAATTGAAAAAATGTCTATCTACTCTGTTATACAAGTGTAATTATCAAATATAGTCTCCTCCCATGAATACAGGTAATATACTCAGGGTAGTGCATCTTAAATGTAAAGCAGACTTCCATGCCCTAGAGTAGGTTACTCAAACATTTAACCTTATTTCAAAGTGACTTAGAAAATCCAAATAAATGATACGTTAAACCATCTAGTCTGCTCTTTAATCCACTTGCATTTTTCCTTAACTTCTCCATTTGATACTGTTTCCAAGAGAACCACAACCTACTAAGAATCTCAATTTGTGCCTTTCATTAATTTACATTTACCTTCCTACTTGCCTTTCACAAAAGTAGCCAATCTTTTATTATTCCATGTTATTTTCTGTGCATTCACCCTTTTCTAACTCTTCATCATTAAGCTGCAATATACATTTTAAAAAACTGTATTTCTTCAGACATCGTCTCAGGATGTCATCTTCCCTTTGATAGAGTAGTATTTTCCAACCTAAAAGTGTGAAGCAACCAAAACTACAGTGTATTTTGAGCTGAGGAAGCATGGTATTATGTGAAATAATGACATTTTCTCATTTTAATTTTTTTTTGTTAACACACTACATATCCCACCCGTACTTTGGCCCTGTCCCTTCTAGTAGAGTAGTAGTACCTTTACAAACTGTGATAATTCCCAAGTTATTTCCCAAAGGCTTCATAAAAGGTTTGTCATCATTTATGACCTATTTCTGCATTTGCCTGTGTCTATTATCTCTCTTTTATTCAAGCTGAACAATTTTTCATTAGCTTTTTAGCTCTTATTTCTCCAGTCTTCCAAATGTGGCTCATCTGGAGCTGTCTGCAATCCAAAGTTTTACTTAATGAATCAGCCCCTCATTGACTACATCCATCAAACACATGACATCATACTGACCTCAAGCATTTGCTTAGTCAACCTTTTGTGCTCAGTTGATTTAGTTGTTTTATAAGTTTTGTATTTGGAAAACTCAAGGCACTGCCTTAAAGCATTTCCAAGCCCCTAACATACATTTTATTTGCTTCCCCCCCCAAAGGATCTAAAGGTGACATTGCTTTCCAAGTTTACAGCAGTCCTTGGATTTTCCCCTATCCATTTTGTAATTATCAACTTTTTTTAAAAAAATCATATTCTCTAGACAACACCTTCAAAGAATTCTTCTCTATAACATAACTTAACTCATCTATGCAAACTAAATGGAGAAACATATGAGAATTCTGGAGGCAACATCACACCAAAAAAAAAAAAGGAGGGGGACTAGGAAAGGAGATGACAAAGGTATAAAATAATGACATATCTGCCATTCTTCAGAGATACTTATTAAGACTGAAATGCTAAGGAGAGAGGACGAAACAATATCCAACAAGTAAGAACGAGTGGCTATGGAAAGGGGCTTCTTGGGGAAGATAGTGAGACCCTTGCCCACCTCAGTTTGGTTCATCAGAAATTAGTTGACCACCTCCTTCTCAAGTAAAAGAAAAAGAAATCAAAACATCAGTGTCATTCTTCCCTCCCTGTTAGGTGAGATTGACCACCAGGGACTGATAAGCCTAAATTGGCACCACCACCTTCGTCAACACAAGCATGCTAACGGGGATGGGATGACTGGGAGAGTGTGGAGAGGTTAGTTCTTACCTTATTGGAGTACGGGGGCTTGCTTAAGTTGATTCCATCCCGGACGAGTTTATCCCTGATCATGATTTTCAGTTTGAGTTTGGGGTAAGTCACCAGTTCCTTGCTCCGGGACCCGGCTTTCTGGTTCCTAGAGACCCCCCTGGGTCCTTGGGTCTGGCCGGGCTGGGACTCCCTCCAAGCCTGACCCTCATACTGCTCCACTAGGTGACTGGTGTAGATTTCTGGGGAAGGGGAACCAGGCTGCTGCTGGGGCTGCAGCGGCTGCGGCTCCAGGGTGAAGTAGAGGCCGGCGGCATTGGCGTCTTGCTCCCGTAGCCTCCTTACCGCGTCGTGGATCCGGCGCCGGTGCTGGGGGGCCAAGACCCCGATGGCGTCCAGGTCAGGATCCCCGATCTGTTTGCACACCTCCAGGTCATCGTAACCATTATCCACGAAGGACTCCGCGTACTGGGGGAGTTGAAGGGCTTTTAGCCATTCGTAAACTATGTTGGTGCACATAGTACTCGCTACTTTTACAACACACACCAAAGGGAGAGTGGGGAGAGAATAACCTACAAACCCGACGATAACAATACTTGTAACTTTTAATCCTTTTCTTTCCTCGGAGGAAAGGGGGAAGGAGAGAGATGAGGTAAAAATTAACAATCTGCGAAGCTGAAGGCGGAATAGCACAGAGTTGGAATCAGGAAAATAGCAGACACCTTTAAAAAAAACTGGAAGAAAAATGTGAAAGCAAAAAAAAAAAAAAACCAAAATTAAATCCCTCGCGAACAGCAGCCGCAGTTCACAGTGATCTATTGGTATTGCTGCTTATTCCCTCGGAGCAGGCGAGCTTCTGTCACTCGATTGAGGGTGGGTGGCTGAGAAGGGGTTTAATCACAGCCCCTCTTTGGAACAAGCCCGGTTCGGGGGCTCTATTTGGACGACACGAGGTTAGGTTGGTCCTCGCTTTCCTTCAGTTTCTCTTCTGCTTGATTCAGTTCCATTCGTCTCCTTTCCTCTGTGGCTTCATGCATCTCTATTTACTATTTGCTCAGTGTTTGCTTTTTAACACGTAGTACCATGTTGAGGAGGAGGAGGAGGAGGAGGAGGAGGATCCTTCAGCCAGACAGATGCACAGTCGCCCTGATGTGTCTCATCTACGTATGTGTTATTCACCTCCTCCTCAGCACCCTCCCCGGTCCCTGTCCCGTGGTTTCTCAGCTGCTGGCTGGAGGGCGGGGTGAACCTCAGCGGCTGCCGTTAGACTTGCCCCCCCCCCAAACAGGGCTTCTCTTGCATACAGAAGCTCCCTGGTCCGCTCCTTTCAGTTCCTTCCCCTAAACAGCACTTCTTTCTCATACAGGAGAACCTATGTCTTCCTTCTATTCTTCCCACTTCGCCTTTATCAACAAGGATGGTAGTGTGGATCCTCAGGCCGGGGTCCACAGACAGGGCGAGGCTGGATATCCTAGTTTCCCTTCTCCCCTCCTTTTCCTCGCTAAGTTGCAGCTTTCTTCTGTCCTGGTGCCAAGCTCGGCCCTCACCCTTCAACTTAGCGAGCTGCGCATCTATTTCGTAGTGTCCGTCCTGCGCTCGAGTGGAGGGGCTGCCTCCCGAGTTGGGGCTGGGGACGGGGGTGGGGAGGGGGGGACGTTAGCTCAACACTGGGCAGCCGAGGAGGCCAAGGAGTAGAGCGGCGGGTAATAGAGGTCCTCAGCACACCCAAAACCCACGGTGGGGTCCGAGGCAGAGCTCAGCCTGCAGCTCGTCAACCCACGACTTCTCCGCACTGGGAGATAACTAGTTGACATGGGCAGCTTCCAACGCTCTTCTGCCTCTTTCCTCCTCCATCTCAGTTATTTCCAAAAGTTAGGGGAGAGGGAGAACTTTCTCCTTAATCATTTTGTTCAGCTTCTACTCCCGACCTTTCTCCCGTCACCCTCTTCCACTCAATTACAGCCTTTCTCCTTCTTCACCGCGCTCTGGTTCTCCCGGAGAAGGAGAAGGGCGCCCTCCCTCGAAGGCCGGGGCTCCCAACCAGACTCGCCCAGGGAAGAAGCTCTGTGGCCAGAACAGACCTGAGTACTGAAAAGTCCTCTGGACTTTCAACTCTGGAACCAGAGGACTTAAAAGTCAAGCACTGGTTTAACTGCTTGGAGAGAAGGGTAAAGGGGGAAGTGTTTGTTTGTTTGTTTTGTTTTTAAACAAAAAGGGCTGTTACCCTTTGCTTTTATGTAGGCTCCAAGAGCCTGAGTCCTACCTAGGTTTGAGCCCTAGTCCAGTCCCCTTGAGTTCTAAGCATCCATTCACCACCCCAGCTGTGGAGAGAGAATACACCACGTGCAGGTGATGCTGCCTCAATCTTCTACTAAACACGGGCTGTAATAATAATGATGATAACCTTTCTCAGGTGATTTTACCGTGCACCTGAGCGACTTCCCGAACCTGGCCCCTTTCTCCCTACGTCTCCCCTCACGCCCGCGTAGTTGCTACTTTCTGTCTTGGGGACCTCGTGGCTCTTCTCTTCACTAAGGATCGGAATCTTTAGGGCACTCATTCCCTGCTTCAACACCCACACCACCTGAAAAGCCAGTTTAGTGGGCTTTCTCCCCCCCCCCCGCCCCCGCTACAGTACTTAGAAAGGCTGGCTGCGGGAGCGTTCAGCTAGCCCTAGCCCTAAGCCACAGGCCTTTTGGACCCTACTGTCGGGGTCACCCGGCTAGGTTCCTTTGAAGTTTAGCAGCCTCGCCACAAGCCGACTACCCGCCTGCCTCAAAGCTTGCTTTCTTTACAAGCTGGGTGAAGCTCGGGCGCGCCTCTCCCTGCCTAAAACCAGACTTGCAGTGCCCCCTCGCGACCACTGGCTGCAAAGCTTGAGATTTAGAACTGGGAGCCGCCTCTGGGGTCCTCTAGTCCCAAACTCCTCTTTTTAATTTTTTTTTTTAGACAAATGAAGAGACTGAGGCTCAGACAAGAGAAGTGGCTTGAGAAACATGATACAGATATTTTTCTCTGCCCAAGAATAACCAGAATGAGTTTTACCTTTTTTTTTTAGTAAGGAAAATATATACTTTGCTCAACCCTGGATTTTGCCTCTTCTAGACAGTCTCTGCCATTATCAACATTTTCAGCTGAACAACTCTTTATGGTGCCCCTATTTGTTAGCCCCTGAGAATGTAAATATTAGAAAATGTAAGTAGTCCTACCATGAAAGATTTTGATTCTTCTGGAATGTCATGGCCTTGGTAGCTAAGCTTGTGTGGGTATGGGTTGGGGGAAAGCCTAATAAATTTTTATAATTATTCCTGGAATCTCGGTCACCACTGATGCACGATGGCTATGCCAGAAGAGTAGATGCTGTGGCAGGTCCTGGCCAGAGCAGAATTGGAAAAGCATAAAGTGACATATTGCATCGTGTTGTCTAAGAACTGGCCTGATTGAGATGAGAGAGGATTGTTACCATGTTGGCCACAGGATGATGGGTTTTTCAGCTTTTTCATCATCTGCTAATTAATAATCTGTGTCTGTGGAGGGAGTACCTCCACTAAGGAAATGATAGGCTCTTTAGGAGACCTATTTAGGTAATAATATCACAGAATTTGAATAGAACAGAAAACAGAAAAAAATAGAAAACAGAGAAATACAACTTACCTGACAAGTTACTCCTCAGCCTCTGCCTGAAGATCTCCAAGGATGGGAAACCCACCGCCTCTTGAGGAAAGCCATTCCTTTTTTGGAAGGCTCTAGCTGTTAGGAAGTTTGTCATAGCATGAAGCCTAAATGCGTCTTTTGCAACTCCGTCCATTGTTCTGCCTTTTGGAACTCAAAAGAACAAGCGTAATTTTCATTCTCATGACAAATACCAAATACCTTCAAATACCAAAAGACTGCTCTTTTGTCTTTTCCTTTTTTCCTTCTTCCAGTGTTCTCTAAGCTAAACATTCCAGGTTTCTTTAACTAATCCTCATGACATGAATTCAAGACCTGTCACTATCATGATTGCCCTCTTCTGGACATTTTCTAGTTTATCAGTGCTCTTCTTAAGCCATGGCACTCAGAACTGAACACAATAGTCCAGACGGGTTCTAATATGGACAGAGTACAATGGGACTCTCACCTCTCATTTCCTAAAAGTTAGGCCTCTTAATATAGCGCTAAGTCTCATTAATTTGATTTCCACATCATTGACTGACTCACTCTGAGCTTGCAATCCACCAAAATCCCTAGATCTTTTTTTTCCAGAACTGGTGTCTAACCATACCTCCCTCATTTTAAACGTCTAAGGTTGATTTTTGGTATATTTTTGTTTTATTGAAAAATATGTGTTTTTTTAACCTAGAAAGCTCCCAAGAAACAAGCTCCATTTCACGGGTTGAAGAATAAAAGTAACTTTTTCTCAGAGTAGTGGTGTCAGAATGCCTTATTCATTGATCAACAGCCCTCTTCTTACTAGAGAAGTGTGATTTCCTATATAAGGCAGATCTACAAAGCATCGAGACATTGTTATGGTCATGAGGATTTGTTGTGTGAGTGATTTATGACTATGCTGTGAATTGTACACACTTTCTCACTTGCTTAGCTTGCAGAAAAATAAATAAAATGGGGTGGTAGAAGTAATAACATCTCCAGTACTGTGCAATTATATATTTCAGCCTATTTCATTGTGCTCTTTTAATTTTTATCAGATAAAAAAAATTATCAAATTATGTTCCATCTTCAAGGACATTTCTGTATAAAGCTTCATTTAACTCATTCTACAACAATTCAGGGGAAGCAATACGCTATATCATAAATTCTATATATCATTGAGTCCAAACCCCTTTTTACGAATGGAGAAAATGAGGTCCAGTGTCATTTATATGACTTGTACAAGGTCAAGCAAGGAGTAGTTGGTAGAGCTGAGATTGAACCCAGGTCCTCTGTCTCAAGATCCAGTAGACATTCCACTACATTCTCTCCTCTGAGCTAGAATTCAATCCCCTCAAAATCAAAAGCCATTTACTCTTTAAATTATGTTGACATAATAGCTTATATGCACCATTTACCTAAAGATGTGGTTAAACAAATGAAATATTACACATAAAATCTTTAACGAAAATTAAGTTTGATATTAACTCTGCCTAAATTACAAAGAAAAATGGAGCTTCCATTTAACTTAACCTTCCATTATATATGGTGATTGTCTAGGCATAGAAAAGATGCTATAATTCTCTAACACCAAGATTAAAAATAATATATGATAGTAACAGTATTGTACCAATGAAGTCACAGGTCTAGATTTTTTTAAAGTAACATATTTTAAAAACCCTCTTTTCTAGGAGTTACACACATTTCATTTTGTCTCATTAAACCTTAAGATAGTCAGCAAGTATTTTTATGTCCATTTTATAATTAGGGAAACTAGACTGGGAGAATAAATGACTTGCCCAAGGTCATATAGTAAATCACTGATACAGACATGAAATAGACATTTGATTTCTGAGCTCCATTCAACAGACAGCACTACTTTTCCCTAATTTATGTGCAGAGACACAATCTAATTAGGAAATAAAGGCATTCTGATCTATAATCCTTTGGAAGAGAAATTGTTTATAAATTAATCATTTGTTAATCAGTAATAAATAAAACTCAGTCACTGTGGTCTCTCAAAGGAAACCTGTTCATTCGAGATTTGACTAATAAATGTTCTATGTTGTTATTTCCTCCACCCTCTACCCCTACCTAGCACATTGCTCCCCCAATCCTTTTATTAATTCCAAAGGGCTTTCTGCCTCCTTCTTTTTTTTTTTGTAAAGAGAAACTCCTACTGGGTAATCTTAGAACCCCACAGATGTATTCACAATTGTACAAGTTCAGCAAATTAATGTGTATTCATTAATTGGATAAAGTACAGATATACAAGTAAAGTCTAAACTCTAATTGACAACAAAATTAAATGATCAGTTTTCACACTTAAAATCATTGGATGTACAATCAGAAGGAACTTTAGACCATTCACTCCACCCTTCATTTTATAGTTGAAAACCAGAGACATTAAATGAGCTCTTATGGTTACGTAGCTGAGATTAGAACTTGAGTCTTCTGATTTCAAGTATTCTTCCTATTATAGCATGGTGCCTTGTTTAGGTTCAATTAAAGCTGCACTCTTGCACATTACCAGTTTGGTAATTTCTCATTTCTCATACTATTTGCCCTACCAAT